GCTACTGTTATTATGGCTTTAAATATTTAATTAATACGAAGAAGATAGATTAATTGAAATAATAAGATGAAGATAGATTAATTGATGCGTGTTTCCATTTTATCGTAGCCGAAGATAACTGGATCCATTTCTGTACAATCCTTTTATGATTCCCACACCCTTACATTGAGCTGTTACAGTAAGTACCTACTCAGATCGCAACCTGCTATACTATTTCTTCCCAGCGGCCCGGATCTAGTGATCTTTACAAGTAATTGTTCATGAATAATTGATGATATCCCATTATAGTGAGTCCTAGATACTATTTCTCGTTAATCAGATTCAACAACTATCCACCAGAAAATCATCCTTTCCCTCAATACGATGATGTCTGTCGGGTTCTCAATTTGTGGGGATGAAGTTGTGTTTCCACTTTCTCCTAAAATTTTGCTATAGCAGCCGAACTCCTCTGGAGTTGATGTGTCTCTTCTCAGTGTATCATGTTATATCGGTGCATAAAGCCTCAATGTTTTCATAGACTTGTAATGCTCTATATTGGAAACGCGGTTTACGCATTCACCCATCAGTCGTGCGTATGTGTCTACTTAAAGAAGCTACGCAGCACTCTGTTAATGAAATCAACTCAATGTCACAACATCCAAGATACTTGACTTCAAACATTACTGTTAATTTGATTATCAGCAAGTCTCCTTGATTCTGTGTCAGAAGTTTTGCAATGTTATTACTGATGATGAAATTGGAGCTCGGAGAAATTGCGATTCGAATGGTCAAAGGACCTGGCAGGCATAACTGGGTATAAGCAGCGTAAATGATAGAGGTCCTGCACTGAGCTGCAGAATTTAGCTTGCATTCTATCATTAGTTCCAAGAATCCAAAAAAAAAAAGTGTCGGATAATGTAAGACATAAAAGGTATCCCTTAACACAGGTGATGCCTCTACTGTAAATCCTGGTTTTGTGCCTACCGTACACAGGAGATGGAACATTACGTAAAAGTCCTATATTAAAAGCAGCTCTGAAGTTGTTGATGAGGGTTCTTGCCTGACCCATTCACCCACTTTGAAGGTGTGACAGTAAATAGACTGGTTAATTTTATCATTGAAAGTAAACCCATTATTAGTTATACTGGCACTCTCCCTTTCACCCTGTTGCGCGTTTAAAATCAATGTTTCTTTGTGGACTCTAGTTGACCAGAATGGCCAAATGGAGAATCATAATGATGAAAGTTATAAAAGGATTTCATTGCAGCAGGCCGATTATTGAAAGTTTGAAGCAGTCTGATAAGAGATCGAAATGCGATATATTGCACGGTTAAGATAGGGCTTTCTTGCCTTGTCGTGCTGACATAGTTTCAATAATCTGCATGCAGTTGAGAAAATTTATGTCATCACAACTAAAGTTTATTGTATACCATCTCCTTATGAACAGAAAGATTTAACGCAAGTACCAAGATGATTTCATATGATGTCTGGATAGGAATGCACATAGTAAACAAGTAAGTAGCAACTTTTCGTTTCAGGCACATTGTGCCCAAGAATCATAAAAGAAAACTCACAACGAAAAAGGTACCTAGAGAGAGAAGGACTCATGCAAAATCAAGAATGGTCACATTTGGAAGCATTATTCCTCGGGACAGCATAAAATTGAAAATGTTTCGTGCGTACAATGAGAAAACCATTCAAGAAGTTATATTGTTAGTAATTTCAGATCATGAGTGGCGGTAGCCACCACCGGGCAAGTAACCTATCCTCCAACAATTGGCAACACAGCACAGCCCGGTCGAGGCAACGACACCATAGTTATACGAACTTGGCTTATTTGGGTTTTTAGTTGCGGTCCGGTAAACTTTTAAAAGCAACGGAGCAACGGATTTCAGAAATTTTGGTGTCTAAAGATGCGTCTCGGTCCCGTCTAACGAACTGTTGAGTTTCAAGAAGGTTGATGATTTATTAAACGAGATAATTACGCATATGTGCCTAAAATAGCAAAAAGTATCCACTTTGACCATTTTCACGTTCTATACAAGCTATGGAGAATACGAGGCATCAGAGCCCTATATAATGTTATATCAAAAGAATTGTCTTGTTCCCATGTAGTGTGCATTTCAGTTTCATTAATATCCAAGGCATCCTAAGAGAAATATTGCGTCTAAACTGCTTTTCGGGTGCAATGGGCGACCCGAACCGCCGACGCTTATCATTGAATTTCTCGCTTACACTATTCTGGAATGAAGTTATGGTTATTTCCAGGAATCATCTTGAAGATATGAGGATTCCGAAAATTATACATAAGTTGGGGTTTACTTTTACCGTTTAGGCTGTGGACAGCAACTCGAAAATCATGAAACCCGACTTCATTAACACATACACACGGTAGAGTAACAGTGTTAGTGCTCTCTGCAGTCCTCATCGTCATCAACCGTAGGCACCGAGAAGTAGAGGCCCCCACATAGCCTAATTTCGCGATTTCGTGCTGCACAGAGTAGTGCATGCTATTCGGTCCGGTTACCAAGGCTGTCCTAGCGGGTCGACTTGAGGATTTCAGCCAGTTACATCGGATTTATCCAATTAATTTCGCGTTTATAGCGTTTATTTTGCAGTGTACTCGCGGTAACATCGTTTCTTAGTTTCTTCTTCAAAACACATGGTCTGGAAAACGAGATTTACTAGTGTGTTTACTGAGTGTTTACATGATGGGTCACGTGGATTCAGCTTGACGTGAGGTTTAAGTTTTTTCTTAAATCATCGATGATTTCTTAATGTTTAGTAATATTTTGACAAACAACGTATAAACTCAACTGCTGTGAATATGTGCATAATATTTGTGACTTCTTTCGATTTGAAATCATCACATGAAATGTCTCCTAACCTCGAAGGTTCCACGAGTATGTGCGTTATCCACCTGCTTCATTAGATTTTCGGAATTTTTCTTGGTGTTTTCTACAGTTCTTCTCAGTGATTTTCGGTATATTAATGGTCGCATCTAGTTTGGACGACGCTTTCTCAAATTTTGGATTTTTTGCAATGGCATGACAGGTGATTATGAAGTTGTTATGCATGGATTTTATGTGTTTGTTTTTTGTATTGCTGCGTGAAATTGCTTCAAAGTAGCTTAGGTAATAATGCCACGCACCTGCAGTGTGCCTGGGTGCAAATCAGGCTACAGAGGCCCAGATATAGACGTTCAGACTTTTACATTCCCAATTGACAAAGAACAGCGTTTAAAGTGGGTTAGAGCTATACATCGCTCGGAAGACTTTGTTGTAACTGAGTCCTCATCTGTGTGCATCAAGCACTTTCACGAGAAACATATCAATAGGTATTCAACCAACAAGAGGAAGAGTGAACCTACTTTGTTGAAGAGGCCCCATTTGAAGAGTGATGCTGTCCCTGGCATATTTCCCAATCAACCACATTACTTGTCGACGGAGGCACCAACTACCCGTAGAGAACCTGAGGAGAGGCGCAAGGCACTCATTGAAAGAGACAACCATGATTTCGAATAGTGGCAAGTCCAAGATAAGATAAAAAATTTTCAAGAGCTGCTTGAGAACTTTAAGTCCAGAAGTTTGTCAGGCTTCAAGACTGAGGAGTATGATGATTTCTTGTTTTTATACAAAGTTAAAGCCACAATCAATAACATCCCTGAAATCAGTTGTAGCCTAAAAATTTTCAAAAATCTGAAAATCCAGGCATTTGTGGGGAACCGGTCGCTGAAAGTAGTAAGGTTTAAAGGATTCCTTAACCAAGATTATGAATGTTGCCATTGGTCGGCATTTGAGAGTTTACTCACTCATCTTTCTTCTCTGACAGCTGAAGATGTGTCAACCTTTGAGGAAAATATGGAAGAATTGTGTGATCATATTGATAGAATTCTAGATAAGTGGACACCATCCACAACAAATAATGAAACCGAGGAAAATTCTCCCAAACTGACCAAATTGGAATTTTTCAGGGAACAAATCAAATTTTTAACTTGTTCTGTCCCTCGGTACACCTCATGTCTCCTAATGTGGGCTTGCTCACTATTCTTTGCTTTTCCATCTGGGTACACCATGATGCGCAATTCGAAGGTTCTTACGCTTCCTCACCCCATGCACCTGAAAAGGCTGTCTGGAGATGTCAAAAGTGAAAGAGGGATCAGTAAAGAACAAGTCGCTTATTTAAAAGCCAAGTATAAGAATATGGAGGGTAATGAAAAGGTGGTTAATTTAATGTTTGATGAAATCTATACAATCCCCAATGTGGAGAGTAAAGGAGGAAAAATCATAGGTTTGGCCCCTGATAAAGGAGGCTCCACCAAAGTCCAAGCTTTCATGTTATCTTCCATTTTTGGGAAAAAAGAGGATGTCGTAGCTCTGTTTCCGGTAAATTTCACCGATGCAGCGAAGTTGAAGCAAATGGTGCTGCAAGTTCTACAGGTGTTGACTCTCATCGGATATACCGTATTGTCTTTAAGTTGCGACAACAACAAGATGAACAGGTCTATGTACCAACTACTGAGTGGTGGAGAAAAAATTAAGCAAAGTATTACCAACCCTTTCAATAAGAATGAAAAGATATTTCTCTAATTTGACACTGTGCACCTTGCAAAATGTGTTCGAAACAATTGGCTAAATCAAAAAAATGCATTTCAGACTTTCTTCTTCCCACTGATGGATAATCCATCTTTCATCATGAGTGCAAGTGTTCAAGATTTAAAAAATATTTACTTCAAAGAGAGAAATGAAATTTTGAAGTTAGCACCAGCACTTTCACAAAAAGTTTTGTTCCCATCTTCTCTTGAAAGGCAGAACGTTAACATTGCACTGCGTTTGTTTGATGAGAAGAACATAACTGCTCTTGAAAAATTAGCAAAAGATGGCATCAGTGGAACTGCAGAATTTATCAAAATTTTCTTTCCATGGTGGCGCATCGTGAATGTCAGGGCACCCAACACAGGGGTTCACAAACGAGACCCCTTCAGAAACCCCATTCGCTCGACTGACGACAAAAATCTGGGATATCTTGAAAAATTTGCAAATTTTCTGGAAAAATGGAGAGAATGTGAAGTTCCTTCATCCCTAAAGAAGGATAAAAAGACAGGAAGACTTACATTCGACACGCACTTTGCCTTACTTCTCACTACAGAAACTTTTCGGTCTATGTGCAAATACATTATTTGAACAGTTCAAACCACATTACATTCACGGAAAAAAAAAGATTTACTGAATTTAAGTAAACGCGTCTACTTGGATTTTTTACTTATTTCAAAACGGGTTTGACTTGGAAGAAACCAACGGTTTTCTTCATGTAAGACAACATGATTCGCTTGAGACAAGCGAATCGTGTTTTCTTAAATAAAATAAACGTTGTTTTAAGATAAGCCAACTTTTGCTTGAATGAAGAAACCAGTTTCTTTAAAATTAGTAAACGGGGTGAACGCCTTCTAAGTCCGGCCGTTGCCTCTTTTTAAGTCAACAGCATGCTTGGTAGAAGAAAATCGTTGTGTCGAAAGAAGAAACCGGTTTCCTCAAAATTAGTAAACGGGGCTAACTCCTTACGAGGCGACCGGATGCAATTAGCAATACGCCCGTTGATTTTTTACAATTCAACAGTTTGCTTGGTACAGTGAAACACGATGCGTTTAAAGAAGAAACCGGTTTCCTCAAAATTAGTAAACGGGGCGAACGCCCTCAGC